CTTCCACTTATTCTGCCCCATCTTGGCTGTCTTACAGTTCTTATTTTCTTCAGCATTCTGCCACATTTGACAAGTTCTGAATGTGTAATTAGAAGCACTCTTGGGATATAATCAGAACTTTTTTTTTTTTTTTTTTTTTTTTTTTTTTTTGTCTCTTCCTGTAATTTTATTCAATGGGAAAGGTCAACTTCTGGTACTGGATGAAAACCCAGGAAACTTTCTGCTCACTCTTAGGCAATAAAATTTCCTAGTGTCACTTTAAATCTCTTTTAAAGCTGGTCTCTCAAATGTCAGGTACCATATAGTTGGCAAAGCCGGCAACTTCATTTCAGCTCTCTCTTCCGTTGGCAGGGGCCTTCTGCAGGCAAAATATCTCAGCTCCTTAGAGAGGGAGGTAAGTCCTCCTCTCTTTCCTGGCCTTTGGTCATCAGCCCTTTCCAACTTATTGAGGTTCTAACTGTAAGGTCCCAGCTGAGAGGTTTGCGATGCAGAAGCAAGACACGGAGTCCAGGCGATAAAAAGGGAGGAGGTTTTAATCTGCGCTCCTGGGCGAAACACGCTGGTCCGAGGGTGGGCCAGGGAAGTTTGTGCCAAAGGGCGGCCTAGGTACTTCTTTTATACAGCTGTTTAGTGAGGGGAGGGCGGAGGGCATGAGAGTGTGGAATTCCTGCCTAGGTCCAGGGGTCTAGGAAGGCCCTAGGAAGGCACCAGCTAGCCAGCTATCTTGGTCACCATCCACCTTGCAGATGCTTGTATGGGCTCTGGGCTTACCCCCATCCTCCACGTAACACTAACTTCTTGGGTTCAAAACAATGACAGGAAGAATTCCAGATAACAGAAAGGCAAAAATTTTCACAAAATACCACGTGTGGGTGCATACGTACAGTGCGATTGAAACTTCGTGGCCTATGCACAGAAGTCGGTTTTTGGCTCTCAAAAGAAATTTCAATCCTTGTACTGTTGATAGTTGGCTCTGTTGACTAATGAGTTTGCTGACCAATGTCTTAGACTTTTCGTTTTCAAAAGGAGAGTCAAGAGGAAAACCTCTACACTTCCTAACAAGCGGGAACTTTCTGATGGCCAAACTCCATGGGTGGCAAACATATATTTCTGGTAACAAATGAAGCTGCAGGTGAAAAAGGCAGAAGGATACTGCATTACAGGGCCATTCCACTAATAGAATAGTTAGGATAAAACAGGAAGCATTAGAATGCCCCTGCCATTAGTACTCTTCCTTTTTGTTGTTTTTCCTTGTCATCTTAATGTAAAGATGGGCTAAAGGAGAACAAATGATGCACTGCCCTTTGTCAGAAATAAACCTCACACGCTCAACATGTCTTAGAGGTTGTGAGGCTCTTGGATGTGCAGTTTCCACCCTCTAAAGCCAAATAGAGAGCGAGAGCACATGCCTTATATTTCCTTAATGCATCTATGGGGGCTTGGGAATCTTGCAGGTTGGGGCAGCGAGTTCAAATGTCTTTGGAACCTTGGACCTGCTCCTCAAAACATACTTACCGGGTATCAGCTGTGTGGAGAGAAAGGTGCATCCTGAGGAATGGCAATTGTTGAAGCATCTTGAATCTTTTCCTAATTTCGTCATTATCTTTCTCATTTTTCTGAGAGAGGCTGGATTCAACTTGTCAGGCACAGCCCAACGAGTATCCCTGTGCAGTCTAGTATGATATATGCCAGGAAGGACAATAGCAGCCATTCAAAACAGGGTTTCAAATGAATACATAAGAATAAACCCCTGGGATTAGTCCCCATTGAAAAGTCCAGTGCAGCCAGGGAGGGTGGCTGCTGCTGCCGCTGGGGATTCACAGACAGCTGAAGGGAATGGCATTCACTGATCTAGACACATTTTTAGCGACTGGTGGCCTCTATCTGCCCCATGGGATCTATCGCTTAGACAGACTTTACAGAGTAAAAATTTTAAACAGTATGGCTTTTCTTCTTTTTCCTTCCTGGAAACTGTCTACCTGATTGTGTATGAATGTTTCGGCTCATACATTTCAGACCACAGAATTTCATGCCTCTAAAAATCACTATGGTCTCAGGGAAGAAGCTGAAGAGCGAATTTTCTTCTAAAGAAACTAGAAGCAACAGAACAAAGGAAGCCCTGTGGGGAGTGTGGGAAAGTGGGTGGGATCATATTATGTTCAGAGCACTGAGTATTTTATTTTAAATGTATTTTTATTGATTTTAGAGGGGGTGAGATAGAAACATCAGTGATAAGAGAATCATTGATTGGCTGCCTCCTACTAGCCAGCCCCCAGGAATAGAGCCTGAAATCCAGGCCTGTGCCCTGACCAGGTATCAAATGGACTGCAACCATGACCTGATTCCAACCGCTGAGCCTCAGAGAGAACCCTGTTTGTATAGGGCCTTTACTGTTTGCTGGGCCTATTATGTATATTGTGTCATTTGATCCTTACAAGGAGGTAGTGTCCCCACTTCATAAATGAGAAAGAGAGGTTGGCAGACTTGTTCCAGGTCACAGGGCTGGAAGTATGGTAGTCTGACTCCAGGTTTCATACTTTTTTGCTGTACTTCTTGTGCACTCATACGTTGAGCCCTTCAGTATATAATTCAACTATATGTGTGGCTGTTGAATGGTTTAAAATTAACTTGATACATTATCCATGGAGCATCAGTCCCCTTTTCCTTCTTGCCAGATGCATTCATCTTTCAAGTGAAAAAGAGCAGAGAGAAGCATGTAAGGATACCAATTGCAACCTTAGTTTTTAGCATAGAACTTCAATGCCAAAAAGAAAGCACCAAATTGGACACTGCCTAATGTGTATAGAATCAGTGAGGAACAAATGATATAGAATAGATTTTCTATTTAAAAAAATAAAAAAGGCAGTAGAAAAGGAGAGGACTAGAGCCTATCTACATTAATAAAATAGTAAGATGCAAATTGCCATACCACCAAGCCAATCAGAAGTGAGTATGCAAATTAACCCAACAAAGATGACAAGTAATTTGCATACTCAGCTGCTGAGCGGCCAGGGGGGTGTTCCACACCACCCCAGCTGCCAGGGCCTCTGGGCAGCCTGGGAAAGTGTAAGTGGCTCTGGCTGGAGCAAAGGCGATGCTGGCAGCCAGGGGAAGGAAGGCCCATTCTTGCACAAATCTTTGTGCATCGGGCCTCTAGTTTTTAATATATTCTCCTTTGCAAAAAACTGAACAAAGTAACTATAATTCACATTTGTTTACTTGAACTTTGCTGAGGGCCTAGGCTGGGAGCGTCTTCCATCAGGTCGTTGAGGCCCCTCTCTCCCTCTGTTCTTCCTCCATATGATGGGTGGCTCCATGGCAGTAGTGTGATGATTTCTGGTGGCTATAAAAGTTGAAAGGTGAAAGGGGTCAGAAACCCCTTTATAAATGTCTGCTTTGATTTTCTATTCCATGCTGTTGCTTTAAGGATTAGATCAAGCAACTCAAGGGTAAATACTACAGAGAGCATCTGCATTTAGTGGGCTCTCCATAACTTCGGAGTGAATAGTTGATAACAGTTTCTGAGATCATACACTGTTTTTCTTCAATTACAATCACAAAGTAATTTCTTTGTGGCCAAAATCATATCCTTAAACACAAACTCATTCTTCCCATGTGTAATAACAGCTCCCACTGAGCTGCTTTGGTGTTAATTTAGCTCTGTTCCATTTAATGAATTATGCTAGGAGAATATTGCAGAATCATTTTTTAATGAACACAAAGATGGCTGTTGAGAAAGTTGAAGGCTATAAAAGGGGCTTCATTCCTTCCTTCATGCCTTCTTAGAAATAAGTTTGTGGGCTCTGTCCGAACAAGACCGGGGAGAGCTGATGGTTCTGCTGGTGACCTGTAACTGGCTTCAGACAAGTATCCAGGGCTTATATGAGGCTGCTGGAGACTATTGGTGTTTAGGGGCCCAGGGAAATGTAGCTAAAGGGTGTGTGTGTGTGTGTGTATGTGTGTTGTGTGTGTGTACATGTACATATGCAGGTGTTCCTGTCTCCTTTCTACTATCAAGGCCAGGTAGCTGTGCTTTCACTGTTATGTGTCAGAGAGATTTAGAAGCTTAGCATTCCATTTAAAGTTAGGCTCCTGGTTAATGCTTGAACAAAATGCCTTTCTTCCAATGAAATACATTCTTATTATTTTCTGTCCTCCATTTACATTCCAAGTTCCCATTCTCTTTCTTTATATCAATAGCATTTTTGAGGTCTAACAATAGCATTTTGAGGTCATGTACAATAAAACATATACATTTCAAGTATTCAGTTTAATGTTTACACATGTATATACCTGGGTAGCCAGATCCAGGTTATAGAACATTTCCTTGCGCTCCTTCCAGTCAGTGGTCCCAAGGATAACCTCTATTTTAACTCCGACCTCCATAGATTGACGTCAGCTGTTCTTGAATATCATTCAAGTGGAGTCATAGAGTTGTACTGTGCTGTGTTTGATTTCCTTCATTCAACATTATACTGTTACTCAGAGTCAAGAATCCCGTTGTATACTGTCTTCATCCATTGGCGTGCTTATGTGGGCATTTGGACTGTTTTCAGTTTGGGGTTATATTCCACATGCTAATGCACCGGACATCCCGCAGCTCCACGCCACCACGGGCCTCTGGGAGCACTTATTTTATAAATATATATACTCCGGAGTATGGTCACTTTATTAACGAGCAAAAAAAAAAAAAAAAAAAAAAAAAAAAAGCGAGCTTGTGCTCAGCAGCTATTTGCATAAGAACCACCCACTCCTCGCCCCTCTCCCTGGGGCTGCGGCGCAGCTGTGACGCATTAAGCCGGCGCCGCGAGAAACCTCGCAGGGCGCCTGCGCGGAGAGGGGCGCATGCGCAGACTGCCGAAGCTGCTGACAGATTCTCGGCGGCGGCGGCGGCAGTGGTGGCGGCGGCGGCGGCGGCGGAGGCGCCCGCGGCGGTCCTGGACTGCGGGGAATGGGAGCCCTCGCTCTCTGAGCACCGCCCCGCCTCCTTGGCCTCCGACATGGCCCAGGAGAAGATGGAGCTAGACCTGGAGCTGCCTCCGGGCGCGGGCGGGAGCCCGGCGGAGGGCGGCGGCGGCGGCGGCGGCGGCGGGGCCCTCCGCAGGTCTAATAGCGCCCCTCTGATCCACGGCCTCAGTGACACCTCGCCGGTGTTCCAGGCCGAGGCGCCGAGCGCCAGGCGCAACAGCACCACGTTCCCGAGCCGCCACGGCCTGCCGATGCCAGCCTCCCCGGTCCGCATGCACAGCAGCCGCCTGCACCAGATCAAGCAGGAGGAGGGCATGGACCTGATCAACCGGGAGACCGTCCACGAGCGCGAGGTGCAGAACGCCATGCAGATCAGCCACTCCTGGGAGGAAAGTTTCAGCCTGAGTGACAACGACGTGGAGAAGTCCGCCTCCCCGAAGCGCATCGACTTCATCCCGGTGTCCCCGGCGCCGTCCCCCACCCGGGGGATCGGGAAGCAGTGCTTCTCGCCGTCCTTGCAAAGTTTTGTGAGTAGCAACGGATTGCCTCCAAGTCCGATTCCCAGCCCGACGACCCGGTTTACGACCCGGAGGAGCCAGAGCCCCATCAACTGCATCAGACCAAGTGTTCTGGGACCCTTGAAAAGGAAATGTGAAATGGAAACTGACTATCAGCCAAAGAGGTTCTTCCAGGGCATCACCAACATGCTCTCTTCTGACGTTGCACAGCTGTCAGATCCCGGCGTGTGTGTCTCTTCTGATGCCCTGGATGGAAACAGCAGCAGCACTGGATCTTCCTGTAACTCACCAGCGAAAGTCAGCACTACCACCGACTCTCCAGTGTCACCTGCCCAAGCGGCCTCTCCATTTATTCCAGTAGATGAACTTTCATCTAAGTGACTCACCCACCTATCCCCGAGACTCTGGTTGTTTTGTTTTATTGTTGTTGATTTTTTGCAATGGAGAGAAAAATCAAGTTGGAGCAAGCACTGAACTTTGTCGATTAATTTGAGGCTATTTCCTATTTGACCCTTTTCCTTTTTTGGAATTTCCTGAACTGTTGGTATTCTAGAGAACTTTTATGTCAGGTTCCTGCGGATTACTTCAGTGTAGTAATATTTTCAGACGTTTTCCCAATAAGTGTGTTGAAGCATACATCTTTACGCTGCTAATATGTCTAAATACATATGTTATCCCTTGATTTTTTTAAAAAAATAATTGAGAGCTCTATTTATTTATGGGATTATTAAGTTCTGATGCAAATATAAATGTTGAATTAATCAGTGCAGTAAACTGATGTTTTAAAATTCCATACTTCATGCCCACACTAATTTTTAATGTTATTTTTAGTGATTGCTAATTTCTATTGGATGAACAATAACTTACTATTTACGCCTATTTTTAAAGTATGTTAGTTATATCAATCCAGTGGTTGTCTTGTTTTATTCAGGAGTCCTTGGATATTCAATTTTCTGAGTAAAGAAGTGGATGGGAGGGGGAATGATAAAAGAAAATATAAACATTTGCAACAAACGGTTTAAAATTAAACATAAAAGTAAACCTATTTAAGAAAATATTTCCAAGTGAAATTTAATAGTAATTCTAATAAGTTGTACAAATATAACTACAGAAGATGGATTTTTTATTTTTATTTTTTACCAGAAAGTGCAATCTCGTGGGTATAATACTAAAGTTAAATGAAACCGTGTCTTGCAGTCTTAGCCCACTGCACCTAGACGGAGGCCAGATTCTTTGTAACCATTGCACACTTAACTGCTTTTCAAATGTAGAAAATGTGTGGGGAACCTGTTGAGCTTCAGCAGAGCATCCAGGCAGATACAACTCCCCATCATTCCTATGCTTTAAAACACCCAGGTGTGCCACAGTGGATACTGTTGCCAACAAGAAGCCAGAGCAAATTTTTGGCTGCTTTTTGGCTCTGCCCATCAGTCACCTTCCTAGTTTTCCCCGGCTCAGGAAGGAAGTGGCTGTTTCCTTGCCAACTGGTCCTTCCTCTCCACCTCCCACCAAACTAGGGATCATCAGTTAGACAAAAGTATAGTGTGATTCGAATTTCTGACTGTGAGCAGCAACAGGACAGTGGAGTTGTTTCAGGAACCTCTGTGGTTAAAACTACAGCTGGAGTGGAATGCCTTGGGGATGTCAGCTAATTGGCAATGACTTGCAATTGAAAATCAGTGGAGAGTCACATAGGTAAATCAGTTTGACTTAGGTTTTGTTAAAGGTAGAATTGTGAAATGTTTTTTTGGGTTGTATTTTTTTTTTTATGCCTTTTACAGTTAAGACAAAATATGAAAATATTTAATGCCAAAATGTTTTATATTGTACTTCTTATATCTTCCTTAACCAGGAAGGAAGGAAGGAAGGAAGGAAGGAAGGAAGGAAGGAAGGAAGGAAGGAAGGAAGGAAGGAAGGAAGGAAGGAAGGAAAGGGGGAAATCTGGCACCTTTAGCTTTTAAAAGTTATTGCCTACAGAGACTTTAACAATTATGTGGAATTTTTACAACTATAAGAATAAATGGAACTGGTCAACTTTTAACAGTTGCCTCAAGAATTCAGTGAAATTACGTCGAGGATAAGATCATGTGCAGAGGCTTGAAATTCTCTCTTATAGGTGATAGTATTCAAATACTCATGTCTGATCTTGTTCTTCAAATACAAACCCGTATATCTAACTTCCTGTTGGGCACCTTCACCTGCTACCAGAGGCATTTTAATCTCAATTTCTCAAAGCAAATTGTATTGTCTTCTCATTGAACCTGTTGTTGAAGTGCCTACATGGATGATGTCACCACTATCTAGTTTCCTAAACTAGAAACCATGGGAAACATCCTTGACTTTTTCTTTTCCCTATCACATCCAGCTTAATCACCAAGTCCTGTCTACTTCCCAAATGAATCTCAAATCTCTTTTTTTCTATATTTATGTTGCCGCTGATGTAGCTTAAGTTCTGGCTGAAGGGATCTGCCAGCCTATCTTCTTACCTTCTTTTGGCCCAGTCTTCACACTGCCTTTAATGTGATCTTCCTAAAATTGGAACTTGATTTTTCACCCTCATACTTAAAAGCTATATGCTTCCCCATTTCCTACAGTCTAAGGAATACTTCCTTTAGCACAGAAGATGTGTTTTGTTTGTTTGCTTTTGTCTTAATGAACTGGCCATACTCTTAGAAGCTTTAATCTTCTGTTCATCCTGCCCCAACACACATCCTTACTGCAAACACTAGACTACTTGATATTCTTTATATATGCCACCCACTTCCATGTGTTTGTGCCTTCTGATAGATTGTTCCTTCTCCTTAAAATGCTATTTCTATCCTGTTCAGCCAGGCAAATGCTTTATTTTTATTTTATTTTTTTATTGCATGTGAATGTAACTATGAACTAATGTGCTGATTATAAAAATACTTAAGCAATATTTAAACACATATCTATATAGTAAAAACTGAAAGTCTGTCTGTTACTATGTAAAATTCATCTTCTCTTCCTATAGGTAATTTCAATAATTCTGTATATATCGTGCAAGATGTATTATTCCACATTTTCATGTATATATGTATATAAATTCAGGAAACCAACATGTCACTTACATCTCTCTTCTTTCTCTCTCCCATAGCTAATCATTTCCCAAATCTTACTGATTTTCTCTTCTAGAATCTTCTTTCCTCTCTGCTGCCACCCTGATCTGGGATATTTCCCTCTTAGGCTTCTGAAGCTGCCTTCTGATTCCCATTTGTCCCCTTCACTCTTGCTCTGCTTGGCTAACCACTTATTTTCCAAATCGCAACCTGAGCAACTCTTTTAAAATTACAAATCTGATCCTTCCCTCTCCTGGCTTTAAAGCTTTGCGGTTGCTTCCTGTTGTCATGCCATCAACCTGTATGGATTCTGGCCCCAGAGGCCCAGTGGGATTGCCCTTGCCTCTCCTCCCCTTGTTTTCTGTGCTCCACCTTCACTGGCTTGACTGCTTGTCAGATACTTTATGTTCTCTCCTATGTTAGGTCTTTCTGCCAGATCATTTTCTTGAAGGTATAGGCAGGGGTGGGAACATCCGGCCCCAGGAGCTAAGCCTGCAAAGTCATTTGGTCTGGTCCTGCCAAGGCGTTAGGGGTGAGTTAATTAAATGTCTGGCCAAATACAGCAGGCTAATTTTTAAGTTGGTAATTTTGTATGGCCCTAGAAAGATGTTATACATATCCAAATGGCCCTTGGCAGAAAAAAGGCTTCCTATCCCTGGATAGAGAAACGTAGAAAAACCTTTATTTCTGAAAGCTCCTTTTTCTAATGTAAGTTGTAAGTTTTAAATCAAATGTGTCTTTAAGCGTTTATATAGACAATTTACATTATTATGTTATTGTTCGTAACTCCAAGCACAATGTAAGGATTTAGATCATGAAGAATTATCCTTCAAAAAAACATTTTTGGGATATTAGCATTGCTAGTTCCAAAGCACATAGCATTTAGTTACAGTATGGTTTGACATATATAACAAACATCTGTGGCATAGTTTCCTTTACTATTTTTGTTTAAAACACAATGTAAATGGAAAAAATAATGGTTACTAAATTTGCAGTTGTTGGATGTCAGAACCTTTAAGCATATTTAAAAGATCAATGATAATAACCTGTATCAGGTTTCCTTCCAGTGCATTTATTAGTTCGGCCAGTTACATACCTATAGCAAGAGACCACTCTTAGATATCTGGCAGCAAAATGGGGAAAGGGTCAAGGTTTATGAGGAAAACAGGATTGAAATTTATTTTTTGTATGGCATGTGTATATGGATGGGTAGAAAAGGTTTGAAAATCCAAGAAGGGGGAGGGGGGACGGAGGGAGAGAGAGACGGGAATAGCCAGAACAACAAACCAACCAGATGATTATGTCCACCTACATTTTCTGGGTAGCATCAGGAAATAGAAGAACAAGTTGGTCTTAAAAAGGAGGTCTGGAAGAATTTTTATTTTTTAGAGCAGGAAAGGGATGGAGGATGGAACAGCGAGGCAAAGATCAGCAAATTTGAATTGATTTGCTGTTGCAGGACTTAGGAGTGTGGAGGAAAGTATGTGAAAAGTGAGAATTTGTATCTGAATGCTTCTGTTTCCCCAATTGCTGAGGAATCTACAATATTTGAGGGTGGGGTAAGAATAGACTTGGAAGCTTGAGTAAAATAAAGTTTTAACGTTGCCTCTTTGAGAAGGCTGATTAAGCCATATTGGGTGCCAGGTTGCAGCTGGATTGCAGGTTCTAAAGGAGTGGATTGGAATGACCTAGGTTTGGGAGTTGGTTAAGTATTAGGTATGTGAAGCAATTAAGGAGTCTGCTGCAAGTGGAATTGAAGGAAGGGCCAGGGTCTTGGGGATGGTAAGAGAAGTCAGAGTGGGTTATGGGAGATTACAGTCAATCAGCCATGACAAAGCACACAGGGCATCTGCTCTCACTGTGGAACACTCGCATTAGCAGTTTTGCCCTTATTTTTTTCATGGCTAATTTTGTTTAGTTAGAAAATCAGTCCCACCCACATCAGCACACCTTGAGTTTCATCTAACTGATTTTTAAAAAATATAATGAATATTATAAACTAATGAACAAAAAGATAGATACAGAGACAGTAAAGCAACAAACAGACTGTCAAATTACAGCTGGAAGGTTAGGGAGATAAGGGGGAGATAAGAGATCAACTGAAGGACTTGTTTGTATGCATGCATACAAGCGTAACCAAGGGACGCAAAACTGAGGGGGTAAGGGCATGTATGGGAGTGGGGGGGCAATCGTAAGATATGTACACATATAATACCTTAATAAAAAATGGAAAAAAGTAAATAATAAAGCTAAAAAATAAATAACAAAAAAATATTCCTCCCCTAACTTGTCCATGTAAAA